ACAAACAGGTACTGTTTCTGAAGGGAGTCCAAATGCTCGAGAGCTGCAGTGACATCTTTCAGAATGGCGTCGCATTGTTCCTGGTAGCAGTTTAATTCGAATCTGGTTTTCCTAAAAGGGAAAGCAAACAGATTATGTCTTTGCTCCCCACCAGACAAAATGATGAAGTGAAGCTGCCTACTGATTTGCATAGCAATTTCACAGCGAAGCATTCATCTATGTTGTCACACTGAACATAAACCTGTTGATGTACTGTTCTCTGTAGGATGACACTTTCTAGCAATTTGAATTTAAGTGTGCACTATAGAATGGGAAATCACTTTCCATCACCCGTCAACGGTAAACCACCTGCTGTGACGTCGCTGTCTGAGCACGTGTTCAACAATTTAGAGGGAAAGTTTAGCCAATAAAAACCAGCACAGCATTTCTATCCTATGCTTTTTTAGTTACATTGCTGTACTCTGTGAAAGAAATTGCTCAATTTACTGAGACAGTTGTGTCCACATTCCAATGCAAAAAGGTTTTCCATCATCTCAGGCATATTAATTACCATCTATAACTAACAAACAAATCGAAAACAGATTCACTTGCAATTTCTTTTTACTTCATTTATTTAAACTGTGGATCAAATCTGAGATATGGGCAGAGAATCAGAGGTCTAAAACCTGACAGTGGAGTGTGAGATGAACAAGCATTTTACATGAAAGCACGATGTGTTTACTGTCTAACTGGTTTGTTTCTAATTTACCATTTTCAAAACTTTATTCTAGGCCTGACCTCCTCCAAACAAGCACCAGATCAATACACACAGCATGACACCACAGACTGAGGAAAAGCACTGGTAAGATCTAAGCACCTGTATTTTGCGCTCTCATCCTGGTCCATATTTGCCTGCAACTTGGCAAACCAGGCAAAAAACTGCAACACAAATCGGCATTAAATTACAACCATGCATCAGAAAGAATGAGCTTTAACGGTCAAGTGTGTGCATGCAAAGAATCTGACACACATGCATTTAAAAAAGAAAGGAAATGAGTGTAAAACTACTCTGTGCAGAAACAGCTATATGTAAGAGGGCATGTTTAAGATGAACCACATGTTTAGTACATATTGTGCAGACTCTGATGATAGGAACTGATGCAAGTACTGAGTCAGTACACATCACAGTTATAGTGTGGTGTAGTGGATCTTACTGGCTACAGAACTGTGTAATGCCAACAACCACAGTCACCTGCTGTGCAGTCTCTATCCTGTCGTTTTCCATATCAAGCATCTGGAAACCTTTGAGCAGGACGTCCTCTGTTGATGCAGGCACAGTCGCTGTGAACGGGGACTGCAATGACCGTGATGACAGGCTGCACAAGTCCTCTATAGGCAACTGAGAAAACAAAACAGGACTCCTTATTTACATGCAGGCTAAACAAGCCTTCATTTAAAGCTAACTAGCTGGGGAGCTAGGCGTAGCGTCGCACAAATGCAAGCCTGCCAGACAGCCTTTTAACCGGTATTCCGTGATAAAATCATTTATATGTAATTTCCACATAGCGGAATGATGAATTAAGTCCAAACAGGCGGTCTACACATTCAGTTAACCTTAGCTGCGCTTCAAAAGTAAGTTAGCAGCAGTGCTAGCTAGCTAGCTGACAGCGGGGTCCCAGCTCACCTCTGAGGGCACAGACAGCGTTTCAGCCGCAGCTCGGATCTCCAGGACGGAGTCCATTTGTTTCTCCGTGAGGGGAGCCGTGGCATCGGTGCGGCGATCCCACAGCGACAGTTTCTCCCGGGTTTCCTTATCAGTGAGGTCCAGGAGGGACTGATCCGTGGACGCCATCGTTACTTTGGACAACATCAACGTCAGCAGCAACACGCAGCTACTTCCTGTTCCGGGAGCGTGGGCGGGGCTTAGAGAGTCCCGCTGCACTCAGCGTGCACTTAAAGGTCCCGTAAGGTGACAAAGCCATCGTCTTGTGTTTTGTGGGTGTCATAGACTTGTGGGTGTGAATCAAAAGCTGTGAAGATATGAAGGCGATAAATTCTGCCGCCACCATTAGATAACCACCAGCTTCAGAAGCCAGTAAGTGCTACATACTGCCACAAACTCATGGTTGTCCAGCTCTTATTTGTACAATCCTGTCCCCTATGTGTTCACCGGTAAGCAATTCGTGTATTTTCTTCAGTTTATTCTGTTCAGTTGTTTACTTCCTAGAGCTGCCTCTGTGCACTCTAAAATGCCATTAGCAAAACACACCAAATATTTCCTTTTCGTCTGCAACAGCAAACACAAGACGATCTATGCAGTCCTAGCATCTGAGGAACTGAATATCTAGCACATTACTTTTATTTTTAAAGGCAATGTCCTCACAACAGTAGCAAAATCCGGAGGCACTGGGCCGCTAATGAACATCACCAGTAGCTAGAAGCGTTGGCACAGCATGATGCTGCCACCACCAGGATGCTGCCACCACCATGATGCTGCCACCACCATGCTTCTTAGTGAGGATGCTGTGTTTGGGATGATGCAGTCTGAAGGCCAAAAAGGTCAGTGTTGGTCTTATCAGATGAAAGGATCTTCTTCCAGTTGACTTCAGAGTCTCTCACATTCCTTTTGGTGAACTCTAGTCACGATATAATGAGTTTTTTAAACAGCAGTTTTCCTGTTGCCACTCTCCGATAAAGCTTCGACTGGTGAGAAGCTTGTATCTCCTTCAGAGGAGTCATGGGTGTCTTGGTGACCCCCCTCACTGGTCTCTTTCTCGCACAGTCACTCAGTTTCTAAGCAAGGCCTGTTCGAGCATGTCCTTAGATTTCTTAATGATAGATACAACTGTACTCCAAAGGATAGTCAGTGACTTTCTCTTTTTTCCATCCCCTGACTACATGCTTTTCAGTTCCTTGGAGTATTCTTATTTCCCCGCTGTGTAGTTTCTGTAGCCAGGAATAGTGAATCACCAGTGACTGCCCTTTCCAGATACAGGTGTCTTTATATTACAATAACATGAGACACAATGACTGTGCTCAGATCATCTCCATTTCACTACATGTGTGACGTCTAGCACCAGCTGGCTGCACCTTTGTTGAATTTGGTGATTCATTTTAAAGGGGGTGTGGGCTGCAAGGTGGTGCAGTGGTTAGCACCGTTGCCTCGCAGCAAGAAGGACGCTGAATCACATCCTGGTGAGGACACCTGGGATCTTTCCGTGTAGAGTTTGCATGTTCTCCCCGTGCAGCGTGGGTTCTCTCCGGGTTCTCCGGCTTCCTCCCACGAGATCCAAGGGTGTCTTTTGTCTTCACCCTAAGTCAGCCGGGATAGACTCCAGCCTCCTGAGACCCTAGTGAGGATTAAGCGGTGTATAGACAATGGATGGATGGATTTTAAAGGGGTTGAATATTTATGCTGAACGTTTTATATTTTCAAGAAATTGAAAGAGACCTTTTTTTTTTCAATTCAACTGATCATAATTCAATGTTGAACAGCAATAAAAGGACAGATTATGTGTATTCTGGTCATAGCAGAATTAAAACAGCCACTTTCTGTTCTGTAAGTGTGCATACATGGATTTAACTGGTTTAAGCTACAAAATAAAATCAAATAAAAATCTAAAAATGCTGTTTGATAAGCTCTATTTTACGATCACACTGCACAAAAGTATGTAAGTTACTCTCAACTGTCCCTGAACAAGTGGTATTTATCGAAGGGGGACCTGACTTTGATTCTCTATTTGCCTTGAGCTAAATTAACTTCAGATACAAGCTGGATTATAACTAAAGCCCATAATATTATTACAAAACAGTCATTACAAATAAACCAATGTGGAAGATAAAATTTCTGGGTGGGACAGATTTGGCATCTGGCAGCACAGGAGGCTAATCTATCACTAAATAATTAAAAAAAAAAAAAAGTCCAGCAGGTGGAGCCTTGGGGAACATTTCACATTAAAGTTAAAACTGAGATTTTAGTTTTTTGTACATATTGCCTGCAAATTACCTTGTTTTCCCCCAATTAGAGTAAATACTTAACATCTGCTAACTTTTCTTTGTTTAGTCGTGCAGAAGATAAAGAAGCGACGAACAACAAATAGTTTGCTTAGATGTGGATTTTAATGCTAAAATGTTCTTTTTTTCCCCCCCTACCTCATACAGGAAAACAGCCACTGATTAAATATATTTACAGTCAGTGATGAAATCGTTGGAAAGACTTCGTAGCAAATCTCTAAAGAAAAATGATGTTTTACATGTTTTCAACAATATGCTAAATGTGTGATGAAATCGTACAAAAATGCTGTTTTGTTTTACGCATGTCTGATCTTAAGGCATTTTTATCAGTCGAGTTTTACACAACCAACTGATCTCTAGAGTACGGGAATATTTCTACCAGGTTGTTTTAATGTTTTTTTTCTTTTTAACAAAATGTCTTTTTTTCTGGAAGCTGACAGATAATTTAATATGTATTATTTTTCGAGAGATTAAATTCTAGGCAAAACCTGAACCGTGTTGCATTTACTTACACAAACAGCCTCAAGTAGTTATTTACAGACAAAAACTGAACACATCTCATGATGCAGTCCTGGTGGCATTACGCAGAGGAGGTGGGCTTGTGTTCACATATTACAGCTTTGTCTGCAGGGTGTCTCGCGGGGGAGGTCACGGAGAGTTCAGATTTTATTTTATTTTTCGGATTTTTTATTTTTTTTTGCTCTTGTCTACTTTGTGGAAAGGAGACGCTGCAGAATTCAAGCCACGTTACTCCGGTACAAAAAGAGATGTCAAAGCAAATCTTGTCAAGAGTTGTATTTTGGCTCGGTGCGGGTCAGAGTGAGCACTTGTCTCCACGGTGGTGGGGTTTTCTTTTCACTCTGTTGTGAGGGCTTGTTGAGGCGGAAACGAGGAATCAAAAATAAATGAGTGTAAACAACAAGTGTACATTGTATTAAATTATCATCCCACTGAGACGCATTCGGAGCTTACAGTGCATCACAACACAAGGAGAGGCACACAGGTAATTATGTGAAGTCACTTTTATTAGATCTTAGAATTGAAATGTGAACATTGTGGTGAAGGTTTGTCTGGAAATTGCTACGATGAGGAGAGGGAACTGTACTAGAGCATTTACAGGTAATAATAAATACTTCAAAATGGCTGAATTGACTGATCGCAAATTAGAATTTCTAACTGTTTTTAGCTATTACTTCTGGGTCTATTTAAGTGCAATTTCCTTAGAATACAATGACAAGTAAACATTTTTATTATGGTGGAAGTGGCTTAGAAATGCATTTATAGTGACAAACTTGTCTTATCAAAGTGCTATGACTTAAAAAATCTTTACAAACATAAAATTTAAAACAGCCTATAAATTACATTTCCAGAATCGTTCCATCCAAAGAGTCCCTCTTGTCACTTGCAGTTAAAGGTTTATCATCGGCCTTGACGAGACATGAATGCACAAGTTTGTAATATGAATTTAAAAATAATATTAATGATAAAAAAAAAAAAACCTGGAGCCTATTTGAAAATATCTCCATGAGTTTTTTTTTTTTTTTTTTAATGTCAGCAAATCGGTAAAACCACCCAGCAGAGCAAATGTGCATAAATGTGCAAAGCAAAGAAATACATTTACAAGTGCCTGAAAATATTTCTTAAATAATTCCAATTAATTTCAGCGTAGGCTTGCTTAGGAATGCACACCAAGGTAATTGCATCTCATTTGACCACAGTTTTTTTTTTTTCTCTCCCTATCATCAAAAATGTAGTCATCACAGTTTAACAGGTGCAGGCAGTCTGGTCTCTTTTTGGATAAAAAAAAAAAAAGTAAATTTGTTTTCAGTTGTTGTAGTCCGTTCCCTCTAAGTGATCGGGGATCGGCAGTCCGCTGAGGATTGTTAAACACCTGTTCCACACGTTGAACACTGGGCAGACTGGCTGCGCAAAGGCGATGTCAAACGTGTACAAGTGCTGAGAGCCCACGGCGTCGTAGAAAGACAGAGAGCCGGTGTCATAGTCCAACAACACCCCGAGGCGCCGCAGGTGGGGCGAAGGCTCGATGGGCATCTCCTTGCTGTTGTGACGCACCACCCACGAGTTGTTGCAGCGAGACAGTACCCAGGAGGCCGAGTTTTTGCCGACCCACTCGTGCTTTGGCGCTGACTTGTATGCGATGCCCACTGCGAACCTGCGTGCACCAATGAAAAGGGAAAAATCATAAATGCTGGCACATCTCTGGCATTATAATTTGGAAACATTGACCATCCATCCATCCGTCCGTCCATCCGTCCATCCATCCATCCATCCAACCATCCATCCATCCATCCATCCATCCATCCATCCATCCATCCATCCATCCATCCATCCAACCAAGCACACTCACATTCACACCTACAGACAATTTAGAATCACCAGTTAACCTCAACATGTTTTTGGACTGTGTGAGGAAGCCGGAGAACCCGGAGAGAACCCACGCTGCACGGGGAGAACATGTAAACTCCACGCAGAAAGATCCCGGTTGTCCTCACTGGGACGCGAACCAGCGACCTTTTTGCTGCGAGGCAACAGTGCTAACCACTGCTCCACCTTGCAGCCAGAAACATTATCTCCGATTAAAAAAATAGAACTAAAATGAATGAATGAAACCAAATTTCATGTGAATCTATTAAATATTTCTTGAGATATTACAAACTGGACTAAAGTGATAAACTAACCAACAATCTGATAGAGCTACACCGTTTACTAAAAGTCACTGAAGACTGTTTTTACCATGTGCTTCCTCCAATCAGAGCCTCCCAGTAATGGCGGCCGCTGTCGATGTAGACGTTCCCCGTGACGCCGTAGCTGCTGTGGCTGGAGAAACGGTCCTGACTGTGGCTCTTCTTGGACGAAGTCTCGTCCCTCTCTACCGTCAGGTTGTCGTGGGACACCCTCAGCTTCCGGTGAGCAGACTTCGGGTCCAGTTTGAATGGCTGACCTTAAAATGACAGAAATGTTCAGTAAAACTCCTAAGGATGAAAAGGCATCATGAGTAATTGTGTGCAGCTGTTGACATACTGTTGGTTTTGAGTTTCCCTGGTTCGCTGCTGCGGTTTCCAGCCTGGTTTATGGCCTTCACTATGAAGATGTACTTGGTGCCGCACTGGAGTCCGTGCACAGTGTAGTGATTTTGCTTGATGTTTGGTACGATCATCCAGCTGTCGGCAGAGTTGCACAAACCTGCAGCCCGACAGAAAGAAAATCAGCGAGAACAAACCGGGTTATCATGAAAATTCTTACTAAGTTAGTAAAAATGAAGGATTGTTTGGATTTATGCTGCTTTTGACTCGTCAAACAGTCACATTACCACTCGTGCAAGTGTTTCCAGCACTGAAGAATGAACTGCTTGATTGAGCATGTTATGACTGTGTTAGTGATCAATGCAAACAGACTGCTGCACATTTCAACCCTCAGATGATATCGAACTTATGATATGCATCTGGATGCAAACCCAGTCTCATTGTTGTGTCCCTTTCAAGAGGCTGCAAAAATAATAGTGTATTTTGGTAACATCTCATTATCCGTAAGAGCTCTTCTCTCCTGCTGCTAAAACACAATATTATGTTTGGATATTCTAACAAACCCCGTCTAAACATATAAAAAAAAGTCCTTCACAGTAATCCCTCTCATATCCCTCCATCATTGTCATGTTCTCCACCACGAGCATTATACATTCCACGTGCATATCGACTTACTGACAACATTAGATTGGCTGGTGAAGATGGCGTACTGAAGTTCATACGATACAACAGAGAATTCATCATCTGATGTCCAGTGAACTGTGATCGTGTCGTATGAAGCTGTACATAACTCCTCGCGGATTACTGGCGGATTTGGTGCTGCAGATGGGAAACAAAAGGCAAATGTTGTCCAAAGGCAAGTAATGGAAGCTGAGTGGATTTCATTCTGCACACAACAGCATCAAAATAACAAACAAACAAAAACTATGGTGTAGAGACCAGTGGGGGATAAATAGCACCATCCATTTGTGTTTTTTTTTTATTCTGACAAGTGTAATTAATCTACGTTGGAGTTCCTCCAGCTATTAGAGCTGCAGCCCCCATGCTGAGTTAAATTCACGCTGCACAACAGGGGCCGGGCATAAACAATCAAACCTGTTTCATTCAGCAGAAAATAAAACCGCTGCTGCCTTTAAATATGGGAGCTTTTTAGTTTGCTGCCACTCGCTAACAGGCACAGCGTTGAAATATAATAACATCCTTCTTCCACCCAAAGCCTTTAAATTTTATAAATTGATCATCCGGGGATAAGGTGTGGATTATTTTTAGTGTCGGTTTTTTTCCAATACAGGAACCAAATAAATCATTTAGAATTAAGTTTGAAGAATTACAGAGTGTGGCGCTGCACAGCTAACCTCATCAGGTAATATATGCTAAACAAAAAATAGATGATAGTAATTTAAGTGTTAGGCTTCTGAGCCAAACAATTGAATATTAGGTGCTTAACATGCAAGACTTGACTCACCTGTGAGGTAATCCAGACTTTCTAGCATTTTCTTCTCCCTCGTGAAGTCCAACGCAAAAGTATCAAAGTTGTCATTCAGGTTAATTTCTGGTAGCAGGATTTGGGAGGATGCGGTTGCCATGGAAACTCTATGATAACAAAGGACAGACATAGTTTTATACACTGTCTGTTGTTTATCTGTTAGGGGTGACTTTCACCGGTCCCTCACCTCTCACAGATACTTTTCGCCGTCTGAAGGAACCGAGTGTGATCTGTCTCCTTGAGAGTTTGGTCAGCCTGAGTGATGAGGGAGGAGGACCTCTCGATGCACTGCTTGCAGCTGGCTATCTGCTGGGCGAGCTTCCTCAGCCTCACGGACTGTGCAGAAAATAAGATATGCAGACAGATAAATAGCTTGGTAAATGCCCAACCAGTGTATGACCTGTGAGACACGACGCTGCCAGATGCTTGATTGGGCTTCACATTGCCAATTACAGAACCTTGCTGAGGGAAATTTTGATTTACACCTCTGACAATCTGATTTGCTGTGTGGATTGTGAGCTCCAACCTTTTTTTTTTTTTTTTTATCTCCAAACTTATTAGAGGTGTATTCGTGTAACATCCTTCATACCACTGTCATAGCAACCAAACCTCCCTCCCCCCTCTTTCTTGCCCTCTGTGCCTCAATGGCTTAGCGGCTGAGAGCAACCTCACAACCTGACACGAGGCACGAGGTGAGGAAGGAAAGCGTCCTCCTCCAGAGAGGCCCATCACAGGAAGCAGGGCTGATCTTACATTGACACTGAGCATTGCACAGCATGCCACCACCTTTCTAAGGGCATCTAACAGGGGAAAAGGAAGGGAAACCATTCAACGAGCCATGGCACATTCTCATTAAATGCATGGACACTATGCCAGAAGAACCCCACAGAGGGATACTCTTAATGAAGACAGAAAAAAAGCAATAAAGTGGTGTCTATATCAGCTCAGGCAGCCTATAAATATGCTCAGGCAAGCACACAAAGACATTGTTTTGTTCCCATTTCAAACCAAAATTCAGTGTTTCTGTTATCCATGACTGTTCCATGACTTTAAATACATATTCATGACCATGATGATGAAGGTCCTTTATTTAAACCCCAAACCAAATCTTTCCTAAAACCAGCCAAATTGTTTTTTATGCCTAAATCTAGCCAAACAAAAGTAAAAATTATTGGTTCTGTGGTAACTCTGGTGAGTCATATTCAGAGGATAGGGACGAATGATGAATGTGGTCATGAAGGTTGGAGGACTTGTCTGTAGCCACAACTTGGAATTGCAGATTTGTTTCACCTAAATTCACAGGATTTCTAAATTATTTTTATATCCAAAGATTCTCTACAGTCAGTTGTATTACAAATGCCATCATTAGGCAGCTTGACTGAAAGCGAGCAAAGCAGGAAACAGCAACGATGTCTCCGGTTAAGGTATGCTTTTGTAGAAAAATGTACGGCAGCACAAGTAGGGGGGAAAAAAATGATACAGTTAGTGAACAGACCTCACAAAAGAATCACTGTCGTATGTTTGCTAATATTAGACATCATAAGCTGCCTAAGCTAAAACTTCAAAAGTTGGATTTTTTATTTATTTTTTTTTGGTTACGAGTTCAGCTTCTCATTTCTGAGAAGAAAAATTCTTTATTGATTCTTTCAAACTTGCACTCGCTTTAAGCAGCAACATTTTGAAGATAGATGTTTTTTCCCCAACAACAGCGATTTGTCACGGTTACATTCTCATAAGACCAGCATGCTCAGGTGTGTGTGTGTGTGTGTGTGGAGGCAAGGTTATCAGCGCGGACAAGGTGATAAACAAACAAACAAAGGTTATCAAGATACAAAAGGTGATAAACAATACCTTCCCCTCCTTTATCTTGGTAGCTATGATTTGTCTCCGCTGCTGTATGATATTAATCAGCAGGTCACACTCTTCCAGCAGCTTGTTTTCTTGCCGAGATGCATTTACCTAAACAGAAGTATAGATAAGAAACAGTAAGTTATGATGTTTTTTTTTTTTTAAATTTGCTTCCTCACCTGCAAGTATGTGCAATTTTGAAATCAGCAGTTGTATAGTGACAGGAAGGGGATGATTATGTTGAGTAGGACAGCGTGGCAATCAGCTGACCTCGTTCTCAGTGACACTCATATTTACCAAAACAAGATTTCTCGCAAACTTTTCAAACTTAAGCCAGGGAAAATTAAAACACATGGAGAGGTGAAATAATTGATAGAATGTAATATACCACAATTATCCTTGATTTTAATCACATCATATGAATATTTACATCTTAAGCACGGTCATATTTAGCCAACACATGCTCGGAAAAATATTCAATTTGCGAGCATGTGACATAAATTATTGATCTATAGACTAATGAGCACTCAATCTTGTTGACATGATAAAATGCCGCTCTCAGATACAGTAATTCATCACGGTGTTAATAATTTAATGAGTTGTTGCCCATGAAATGCCACGCAGGCTTGAGAGCCCCCACCTGAAACGGGAGCAGATAAACAACCTCACCTCCACATGTTGGCAGGTTTGGATAAGTTTGCCCATCAGACTTTCCAACTCACTGGTCCTCTTGATTAGATTGCTGAGGTTGGAATCCAAGGCTTGCTGCAAAAACAAAATTGAAAGGGAATATTTCATTACACACTGTCCCCCCTCCCCTATCAAACTGTAAACAGCTGAATAAATCTTGGGGGGAGTGTTAGGTGAATGGGAACATAAGGACCGTATCTGGCCCAACTGTAATGAGCACAGGAGAGGAGGACACACAAGGCTGCCACTGGATGCAAGTAGCCACGTTTTGGGCTCTGATCAGTGTGAAGCCCCCCTCAGTTCTCCCCCCTCTGCGTGCCAAAGATCCCGTATACTGCCGGCTGAGGCCACGGAGCTTAGCGGAGCATCTGCCAGTGATTCGGGCAACTAAACCTTGGCTGTGTTAATCACTGACTCAGATCAAAGGCTTATGTTTCAAACTTCATCTCTTGCTGTAATTGGGTAGCATGATGATGGCGTTCTGCGATGGTACAAAATGTCCTCTGATATTGTAAGCGTTGTTCTTCCTAAATAAAAGATTAATGCATGCATGTATTTAGGTGTTCTATCAATGATTTAAATCGAAACCGACGGCGACAGTCCCGGCAAAACAAATGTGTGGAGAATGCTTCAACTTTAACACAATAGAAGACATTAAAATCTAAATTAGTCATTTTGTGGTGCTCTATACTTTTGGGGAAGAAAACACTAGCATCCATCCATTAATCATCTATACACTGCTTAATCCTCACTAGGGTCGCGGGGGCTGGAGCCTATCCTAGCTGACTTAGGGTGAAGACAGGGGACACCCTGGACAGGTCACCAGTCTATCACAGGGCTACACTTAGAGACAGACAACCAAGCACACTCACATTCACACCTACGGACAATTTAGAATCACCAATTAACCTCAACATGTTTTTGGACTGTGGGAGGAAGCCGGAGAACCCGGAGAGAACCCACGCTGCACAGGGAGAACATGCAAACTCCACACAGAAAGATCCTGGGTGTCCTCACCAGGATGCGATCCAGTGACCTTTTTGCTGCGAGGCAACGGTGCTAACCACTGAGCCACCTTGCAGCCCAAAAACAGTAACATGCTATTACATGATTAAGTCTTGAATAATATAAGTGAATGGATCTGTAATATTTATAGTCAAAGAATGACTGACTCTGGCTTTAAACCGCACAGTACTGAGAAATGCAATTCTTGGTTTCAGGAAAAAGCGGAGACGGCTTTAATGTTCACTTCATCTGCACATTCTGAAATATAAATATCATAAAACTTCCCTCCCTCCAAAAACCTGTCACAAACACCAAAAAAATACAATCCACACTGCAAACACTCAAAGACGAGAGCAAACAGGTATGAGAAGCCTGCAAAGAGCCGAAGCTTGAGGCAAATAGTGGGGAGTCCTCTTTCATATTAGATGTTTCACATTGTGATTTCATAAGGTGTGTGCGTCAGCGCCTACTAAAATAGCAGCGGCTTTATTTTACTGCCCTCGTGAATATGATTTATTCATATGGAAAAGAATGTGATGAAAGCCCTTTCAGATGCTGTGTTGCAGGTACAGGTGAGGAGAGTTCACGATTTCAAAACTGTCGCATGAAACACAACGTATTAATCAAAATGACGCTGCATGTAGTCACACCAGTAAATCTGGAAGCCTGTAGGGAGCGATGTCAAATAAACCCACACGGAGCAAACGGCTCGAGTTCATCTACGCTAACATTTCGGTGCGTCGGTTTTCTCGGTGTGTCTAAAATAGAGCTTCTCGTGCGGCATTAATGCATTTCACATGTTTAGACAGCTCTCTGTAATGGAGGTCTCTTTCCTAAAATCGTTGAAACCTGATGAGAGGAAAGAATAGCAGCTTCCTTTTGTACGCGAATGCTTCTGGTCCCACACCTTTGCATTGGCCAGTTTCTCTTCCTTCCTTTCAGAGTCCTGACAGGTCACCGTCAGGACTTAGAGGTTTATCCTGTGTCAACATCAGAAATTTGATCCGTTGGCAGCCACTTTATCCTGTGAGCAGCACCGGTCCTGTTGCACATCTGTGATTTTCACTTTGTCGGAGGGCAGTTTAAGCTTCTATTGAATCAGAAACCTACATCTTTGTGTGGAACTCTAGTGTACACATATATTACTAGATAACTATGCAGCACTCTTTACTGCAGTGAAGTAAATGTCCAGTTTATTTCACTTTCTAGGTATTTAGTTGTACTGGTGGCTTTCTCATCTGATCATAATTTCAGATAATAGGTTTGTAAAGACCAGTGACTTAGATTTCTACTAAATGCCGTCTAGTGTTGTGAAGTATAGCCTGTTTGCAAGAAACTTTTATGTGTCACAGTAGGCGTAACACCTACGCTTTTCCCATTGTGACATGATGAAATGTCAGCTTTGAAAAAGGCCAATTAAAATACTTGTCAGTCACGGTCTCAAATTGAAGTTGTGTAGAATCCCTTTGAATAAGCGATTGCACCTAATTAACCACCACAGAGCGTTTCCTATTGTGTGCATATATCTCTATGAAGTGGACTACACAATGTGCTATTAAGCGCAAAATGCTACTGTATTTTTCTCAATACAGTGCAAGGTCTCGATTCAACGACGCGTTCGGCCTTCTGCTAAACAGGCTAGAAAGCAGGGAGGTTTTATACACGATAAACTCGCTCTATTGACTCTTTGGCTTTAACGATATGTCACCTTGGAAAAACTGTTGTACAAGAAATCGTACAACTGACATATTGACCCTGAAGGATAACACACATCAGAGGGCCATTGTCAGCTTATAATACACAGTAACATGAAAGTTAAATTAGTATTCGAATATCTGCACATTTTCAGGTGGAAATAATACCTCAGCAATACATGTGTAGTAAGTAAGAAGTAAGTTTTTTTTTAACAATCTATACTTTTGTCTACCAACTTAGATATTAAAGGCCTCTTCGTGTGCTTGAAAATATATCTTGAGCAAAAGTAGCAGTCAGCACCAGAGCTGAGCTTTTCCTCCCTTGAACCTGCAGCAAACAATGGTCTCAATTTCATGTATTGAGGCTTTTGGGGTTTTATACGTTACAAACCTAAAGAACCGACCCTGTCAACTTGCAGAGCGAGGCTCTCTATCATTGTTCATGTTGAGGATCGGTTTCCGATTCAAGGATGCATGGCTGAATTACTTTACTATTGCAATTTGCCATTGTATAGAGTCTACAGAGTTGCAGGTGGTGAGCTAGCTGGGCTCGAGCTGTCATGAGTGGAGGGAAAGGCAGGACAATGGAGATCCACGTTTTCTAGATGAGACGTGGGTGTAGAGTCACATCGGAGCCATTTTAATAGAAGGAAGGGGTTATTGCTGAAGAAAAACTTTATAAATATGTAATTTTGGTGCCCAGAGATGAGCTTTTTGGACTTTAATCAGCTACCAGAGGAGGACTTAATTATTTATTTATTCTAAATATTTCAGCACTGTGGATGACTGATGGGTATTGTCACCTCACTACAGGAGGTTCTTAATTTCACCCCCTTGCTCTCGATGTTGAGTTTACACGTTCCCCCCGTGTTTAGATGGGTTTCTTCTCATAGTTTAAATGTATTTGGTTTTGAATCAAACTTTGAAATGCCCGTCAGCATGAATGTTTTGTCTGTTTACAAAAGTTCCGCAACTGCCTGGCGAGCTGGGGTTTTTAGCTTCACGCTCCAACTCGCTCGTGTAAGAATCCAATCGACATAAAAAATATATGCCGGAAAAGATAATTATAGACGCGATGCCAAAACCGGGATCATGTCGCATAATGCCCAAATCAGGCAGAAGAAATAACACCGCATCGCACAAACACACCCACGCCGTAACAATGTCACAGTATCCCTTTGTGTGGGAATTTCTGAGAAATGTGCGGCGGTGTGGTTGTAAACATGTGCTTGGAAAAAAAACCCATCAGCTACCAACAAGCTCAGCTGCATGCCACCTGGGTCCTGTCCTGCATGCCATGAGGAAGAAATTATGTCTCTCTAAGATGGGAATTGCTGTTTCCTCTTTCACTTCAGGCTTCCAACAATGCAACTGCATCTGGAGGATGTTGCTCTTTTTAAACATACGAACGCTACTGCGCCACATTCGCTGCCTCATAAAATAATGACAGCATAAGTCTAACTGGCACCACCAAGCCTATGTGTCAGTATTTGCTCAAGCAGTGCGGCACGTATTTCACCGATTTCTGTTTGACCTCTCGGGAAGTGACATTCAGGTTTAGGCGGATCCGTCTGATAAATCTGCCCCGAATGTGTAATTAAAGAAATGATGCTGATCACCTGGTCTGCCTCCTGGTGTGAATGTTCACGGCCCACACAGAGAAAGCGGCCAGGAGATTTCTGCACAATGACAGCATGATCAAACAAAAGGAGAGAGGTTAAGACTGGTCCTCTGACCTATCTTCCCAAATAGCTGCAAAAGATTGTTTGCATACCAATCCCACTGTGACCAAGCATTGTGAAAGAAGGGAATGGACACAAAAGGAGGTTTTTTTTTGAGTGTTACTTGTGATACACAAAACCATCCTTTTGTGAGTCATGCATGAAGACTGTGAGTGCTTGTGAAAAAAAAAAAACGAGGACACTCTCTTTTTTTTTTCATGCAGCTATGCCGTGCAAGTCTGAAGAAACTTTAAGATGAACTTGGCGAAACTTTTACTGAACTGAAAAGCTTTATCCATCTGAGTTTAAGACTTATTCCCAAATGTAAAAAAGAAAAAAAAAATAGATGTTTAATGATCTGAAAGAAGTTGCCTCGCTCCCTTGTGTACGGTTAACTTACTATTTCTGGGCTAAGGGCTTCACAATAAGGCTTCGTGGCACAGCTGTCTCGTAGTGGACTAAAGAACCCTGTGATGTTTGCCGGAGCTACAATAGGCACCTTAAGTGAGTTGACAAAATACTGACCCGCTAAGTTAGAATTTCTCATGATGGAAAGCTCGTTTGAGTTTACAGTGAAAGGAAAGCGGAGCCAGCGTTTTATGCTTCAGCTAACAGAGTCTTCTCATGTCTTATTGATGTCAGCCCATCTGCTGAAAGTGAGCAGCTCCTCTTAACCTAGAACTGTAAGAAGCAGTTTCTGACGCTTGTGCCATCACGTTTAAAACGGGCCGAGTGAGAGACAACCTGCAGCTCGCACAAACTAATTGAAAACAGAAGTAATTTTGTGCACTTATTTATTTCCTCATAGCCTGTTAAAACTGTTTGCAAAGTGCCACTGTAGATTCGCTTGAAGATAACGCTCGCTTCATAACTGATTAACATCAAAAAAGGGCAGATGCTTCCCTCTTGCCATAACATTATGCGGCGTTAACTTATTTGTACTTGCAGGAAAGATCATCTTGTATTTTTCATGTAGCGCATCATTCATACAGTAATTTCTTATAAAGCAGCCGCTTAAATAAATGATAAATTGCCCTAAAAAGCAATTAATGAGATTTACTTTTATGTGTCGAGGCCATCAAGTGTGATTTATTTCTGTGTCTGTGCGCATTTCTTCAGTGCTAAAATCAAGCAAAAGTTCATTTATGTTTATCACAGAATGAAAAGTCAACAAATTCATTATCAGCTTGAGCACTTATCATACTGAGATAATGTATAAGCTGAGAAGAGGCTTTTGACAAACGCACAAATCATCTTGGGATTCTGTGAGGTAAACATTAGTGGGGATGCTTTTGTCATTGCCTTATAAATCCTTCCAACCGCAAAACCGTTTCCTTACCTTGAGTTTGTCGTATCGGTCACTGAGGGCCGCCACTTGGTGGTCCCGGTGTCGGCCAACCAGCTTACACAACGCACAGATCAACTGTTCGTCCGTCACGCAGTACATGTTGACCTTCTCGTCCTCGTGCTCCAGACACATAAGCCCTCGCAGATGGGAGTCCAGCAAGGGCTCGATTAGACGGTGGCCCGTGAAAGGCTTCTTGTTGGGATGGGTGGCCTTGAGGCACTCCTCGCAGTACGACACCTCGCAGGTGACGCAGGTCTTCACGGCGTCCTGCGGAGGGTCCTGCTCGCAGAACTGGCACTGCACCCGGTCGCTGGGGGACGTCATGGCTCTGCTGTCGGGGGCGGCTCGCTCACGCCGGGTCTCGTTAGGGGAGTTGGGTCCGCTCAAAGAAGCCTTCTGGTAGCGGTCAATGATGTTCTGCAGGGTCACGTTGCGTTTGAGTCCCTCTAGGCCCCTCTGGTTTAGGGTGATGACATAGCGGCAGGTCGGGCACTGGAAGGCGCTGATGGACTGAATCGGCTCGCTGGGGGTGCAGTGGGAGACCAGGATTCGGTGGGCGCAGTTGAAACAGAGACTGTGAGCGCAGGGCAACAGCAGCGGGTCCTCGAAAAGCTCCAGACAGATTGGGCAGGTCAGCTCCGACTCCAGTGTTTCCATCTTCAGGCAAAACGAAGGGGGACTGTCAGCGAAATCCAGGGAAGCTGATCAGCTATCTGGAGAGAAGATACAGCAACAAATTAGAGATTCAATGAAAGAAGGTAAATTATTTGACATTGGATAGGAGTTGGGGCTGCAAGGTGGATCGGTGGTTAGCACCGTTGCCTCGCAGCATGAAGGTCACCGGTTCACGTCCCGGTGTGGACACTTGGGATCTTTCTGCAGGGAGTTTACATGTTCTCCCCATGCAGCGTGGGTTCTCTCCAGGTTCTCCGGCTTCCTCCCACACAGTCCAAAAACATGTTGAGGTTAATTGATGATTCTAAATTGTCCATAGGTGTGAATATGAGTGTGCTTGGTTGTCTGTCTCTAAGTGTAGCCCTGTGATAGACTGGTGACCTGTCCAGGGTGTCCCCTGCCTTCAAGTCAGCTGGGATAGACTCCAGCCCCCTGCCACCCTAGTGAGGATTAAGCGGTGTATAGATAATGGATGGATGGATGAATAGGAGTTAATAAGTTGCTAATTAATTTAGTTAAGATGCAAACAAATTATTTCTTTGAGACTAATCGGTAAATAAATAAGTTGGTTGTAACCTTAACGTCCACACTGAAGCATATTTGGAAGGAAAAAAAAACTGAATAAACAAACATCATGCATCCTAATTATAAAGCATTAATGATAAGTTATTCATCTCTATCTTGAGCTCCATTTGATTTCGCAAGCTGAAGATGAAAACATGAATATAAATATTATGTAAATATTTGTAAGAGATATCTGATTATGGAAATGAAGCAAATTGGAAAAATAAAACGGGCAAGCAGGAGAATACTAAAGCGAAAACACGTGTTTGCATATAATACATAAACATGTACGAGACTTCTGCTTGGCCTCTTTGGCTGAACTCACGACTTAAAGAATGCAGCAGCGGCTCATTTTAATTTGGCACAGGAATAGTCTAGCCTGTCCGCATGTGTTCTTCTCTGTAGTGTAGTCCGTGGGCCAGCAGGCCGGTGAGGACTGACAGCTCAGCCAAGCAGAAGTCTATTGGCCTGCTTGCTGATGGCTGGGACTCCACACCATCACAGACACTAAGCCTTTGTTCCCGGCCAGTCAGACACCCCAGCTGCGAGTGGACACACTGTGCTCACAGCGTCGCTCTATGTGAACTCCCTACCTCCACTCATTATGTGTGAAGAAGGCAAAAGCTCATTATCAGGACAGTCGGGCACAAGTAGCCTTTTGAAGTTGTGAGGATACAGCAATTACCTCTGAGCTACAGACCTGGGTTTGTTCTTTTATTCAAATTTTCACAGACATTCACTTATCCCACTGTACTGTACAAGACAAGAAGCAATTGTTGCACTTGTCTCTGGTGACTAGGGATGCATCTGTGGGCCTTTGTTTCTTTGCTATTTTGTTCTTTACAGACAAAGCGACAAATGCAGGTGCCTAGAAACTGAGGATCAAAGACGAGCTCTCCACCATCCAAACCCCGCCGTCTTCAACAAAATATGTTAGACATTAAGCCTTTTGGAACAGATATTGTTTAGAAGTTTCGGATTAACGTGTTTTCTTTTCAAAAATTTCCTATCTTTCACATAGTTGAGTTCTAAGTTAAGTTTGTAGCGCTGAATCCTGAACTCACTTGTACATGTTTAAGGCAAATTAATCTCTAAAAATGAAGCTACTTTTGTTTGATGTTTTACCCTGAGACACAAGCCAGCATCACATCATCTTCAGCATAGCTATCAGTTACAACATGCAGCCTTTTTGCGGGTCTCGTCAAACAGGTTAAGTTGTTGATTCAACCAGGCTGTCCTAAATACAAAATGAATAAAGAGCTTTGTACGACAAACACAATGCAAAGACACTAATCCGCTTATGTCATCGCCTTTGGTATAAAATATCAAGAAGTTACAAAGAGCTTGTAAAATAACACTGCAGCAAAAAAGCCCCTGCAAACTGCGTTACAGCCCCAAGTACATTACGCACTCCTGAAAGCTCTCCCATTCATATACAGTTTACTTTACCCACCGATGGATTTCGCCCCACTTTGCACGGCCGAGACATTTTTGCTGAAGGAAAACTTCTGACCTGAATCATGAAAATATGTTTATAACAACAAATGCACCCGTAAACTCCAGCATGCTGTAGAGATATGCATCCAGATGGTACAAGTCTTCGCAGCCCCAGTAGTCCTGCAGCAGAGCTGTCATTAAGCAAGAGATTGAGCAAGAGGTAGCAAGCACAACAGGAAAAGTTGCCCGACAATTCCAGGAAAGCCAGCTCCACCTACAGCTGGAGCTCTGGCCAGTACTGGAAGAAGAGAGAGAGAGCAGACAACAGTGAGAGAGAGAGAGTGCATGCATGAGAGAGAGAGAGAGAGAGAGAGAGAGAGCGAGAGAGAGAGTCAAAACCAGCAAATAAGCAGAGGCACAGGATCAGGCAGAGCCCGAGCCCACGTCCACACAGGCAGGTCAGTGTCCTCTCAGCCCTGCCCATTCAGAAATTCAAAGCGTTAGGATCAGTTTCAGGTTTCCTTGTGTGACTGTCCCTCTGCTTCAAGCAGCACAATGCTGGGGACTGGAACTCTTCTTGGCAATCCTACCAGGGATTGAATTCAAAGAGAAAGACTGAAGACACTGATGAGAAGGAGCCTGAGAGGCAGCAGGACTCATCTGTAGCACGGGACAGAGGTCTGATGGCACTCTTAGCATCCAACAAACAAGCTGATGTGGAATCAGTGGGCTACATCGGTCTGTTGTCTGTCCTCTCACAGGCTTATGGATGCGTAATGTGCAACAATTCAAACTAAACTTTACAAACTGTAACAGGACTGTAACTTCAGCGAGAAACATCAAGCAAAAATAAAAAGACACTAACCATTCGCGACAGGACCGCAAATGAAGACACAACATATCTGCTGGTACATCCAAGTCTGTCGCAGCTGGCCCTCATGTGGGAATCGCCGAGGTACCATCTGCTTACCATGTGCCTCTATTTCCAGACACACCCCTGCTGCGCTCCTTTTGAATTCTCCTGTCATTCAAAGGAGTCCCCAGAGTGACTATCCTCTCTGAGAGACAGATACACACTGTAAATATTAAAGACATGCTAAAGTTCAGACAAAGCTGTGGGTACAAGCTACTTTACTTGGGGAGCCCACATGGGAATGTGACTGGCATTCCCGGGGTTCCTTCTACACAGTCTCCAACCTGGGAGGAGATCAGTGAGAAGTTGTCGGTTTAGAAAAAGAAAAAAAACACCTTTTAGGAAAACCATTAGAAAAAAAAGTATGATCATGACCAAAGAGATCCAAAAAACATTTAACTTCTGCTTTTTGCTCATCTCTTTAAAGCACTTCTGTCTTTTATGTTTAAATTTAAAGTATTGATTATTTCAGATGTGCCAGGAGAGTTTGTGCAGCTGTTTGACGAGAAAGACAGGTGGGGTCCTAACGAAGTTTTACATTCAGTGTCTTCTAATTTCATGTAGATACAGTTTGATATAAAAACTAGTCTCGTATCAAAAAGCAACATCTGTAGCAAAAGTATGATTCAAGATGCTCCATGAGTGTTAAAATCATTGATTAAACTCGTAAAAACTCGGCTTTGAAAATCAATTTTTTATATTTGGAAGTTCTCGTCAGTGGAAAAAAATCTCGTCCTGCTTTCAACATTTGGAATATTGTATTTCAACCAGAAATGTTTGAGCCAGAAATTGATTCTGAAGAAGAATAATCGCTCTGCAAGTGGAGGATTGGTTCCGGTTTGTTACGTATAAAACCAGACAACTTTGACTCCATGTTTTCATCGATACGCTGCAGTTTCAACGTGAAAATGCTCTGTCATGGTGGTGACTGCTCATTTCACACAACTTAAACATGTTTGCAAGTTTTTAAATAAACTTTATTTCCCTGAAGGGGCTCTTAATCAGATAAACAGTTGTGAGACATATGCACTCCCCTGAGTGGCTGTCTGTCAAATGATCGACTTGAGTACTAAGTCAGGATTTGTAGTTTCATTCGATTAGGAAGTAATCGGTCATTTGGAGATGAAACAATTACAATGTCAAAGATATGAAGACAATTTCCTGCTCAAGCACTTTCTAATCCTTTTGGTTATGGTCTTTTATCACCCTTAATGATAGCTCTGAACCATGTATACAGACACTGAAAGAGTGTGATTGCTCTTTGTCTTCTTTCCTGGGGCAGGCACCTAACATATTTATCTGTAATCCTGTCTTCACAGCGTAGCCGTGACCAATGTGTGGCCTGTTGCTGCTCCCTAAAGCAGCCAGCTCAGCAGCGGCCCAATCAGGCCTAATGTGATTTACAGCTGTAGCAGCACAAGCCAGCTGATTAGACTGACAAATCTACCTGATCTGCAGCTGCACACATTACTGAGATTAGCTTAATGGAGCCTGGCCCTGACCAACAGCTACTGATACTGTTATTTAAATGATTATAGAGGACAAGTTAATTACAAACCTAAACATTTCGGCGACTGAATTTAAAACGCATCTGTCAAACACAAATGCATGGAAAAGAAAGACTTGTAATGAAAGCATTGGCTTAAGCCTCCTTCCAGAGTGTATAATGAGCATCAGTTGAAAAATTAGCTCTAAAAATCTATAATCTAGTCTGCATAATGGTTGTAATGAGTTTCTCACTGAGTAAGAAATGGAAACAGATGTCTATGGGACATTTTTTTCCTGTGTTTCATATTCCTGTATGCTTCCAGACTGTGCTGCCCAGGTCACCCTGGTCAGCATTAGAAGTTGCACCAAACTCTCATTTCCTCTCCGTGGCTTGGCAGGTGGCAGCAGCGGGAAAACACCGTAACCTTTCCACAACCACAGGAACTTTACAGAATGTCGCTTTCCAGGCATGTGGCCGTGGCCCGTTACTCAGAAGACCAGGCAGAAGAAATGGCTCCCTGAGTTCAGAACTATCGATTAACTAACTTGTTCAAAACGTTCAAAACCTTGTTTATCCGTCGTCCCTCATGCAAGGACAAGCAATTTGCAGATGTCATGCGACAAGAATGATGCTTTACTGTTGTGGAAAACACTCAAAGAGCGACACCGTGTGGCTGATTTGCAAAATACAGGAAGCGACTTTATATATCCGAACTCGGAGGTTTCCTTTGTTATGAAAAAAAAAAAAAAAGCGCCAAAACTATGAGGTGATATTTTGCAGTTGAAAAAAATCACTATAACTGTGCAAATTTAATAGTCAGAAAAAATGTGTTCACACATCTACCCCCCAATAAATCTCCGCTGTTGCCCTTTTAAAACCAGCGCAATGCTTCTTCATACATTATAAAGCCCTCCACGTGTGTTGCCATGGGGACAGCTTGATATCTATTTGTCACACTAGTGATCAGAGGCAGTGCTCTGGTGGGAAGATGTCTAACATTTCTCTTCACAAGAACAAGATAAGTTACTAATTAATAGGGGCAACCACCGGCTCAACTGCAATGTCCCAGTTTTACTCTTCATTAGCTTCATGTAACAAGACTCCGATGTGCTTTAATGTATGTAGGCCTGTCGCAAACTGTGTCCGCATGCACTGCCAGAGCTTATATAGATGTTGCAGCGGGAAACGTCTGTATCTTTTATCTTATCTGTGAAGTAAATGGTATTTTGTAGGTCATGAGGCTGCCAGATTATGGATGAAAGGGTGGTTTTATCTCCCCCCCAGTGCTGCCGTGGATCTCCAAGTCTGAGTGAAGGTAATAAAAAACTTTTTATGGTGACTAAGAAAATATGGCACTTAGAAAAGGGGAAAGATCGGCCTCCTAGAGAAATATTCTCGCAAGGTTCTTTATGAGGATCGCTCCAACAAATGATATAATAGTCTTTTTGGATAGAAAACCCTGTGTATTTTAGGGAATGCACTGAGTAGCTGCTCTGACACTGGAAATCTACTTTGTCTACTCCCACTCTCTTTGACGCTTTTTTAATTACAATATCCCCTCGGCCTTCTCACTTAGTCATCCTATCCCTCAAGTGTTATCCACAGCACAAAACATGAAGGAATCTGTGAACACAACAAGGTCAAACAACCTTAGCACTTGAGCAGATCCCTGCCTGGAGGGTTGGAAACATATGGTGACTCATTGTTTTGCTTGAAAAAAAAACACAGAGACACACAGGAACATAAAATACAGACTAAGTTCAGACTTACCTTCCACATGATTACAGCCATAAACAAGCCGGAGAAGGAAAGAGCCACCTTTTAAAGTCAAGTCAGTGTTGATATTTAGGTTGTGCACAGCTGATCCACTGCAGTGGTCTGAACTTAAATCAAAGTGACTCGTCTTTTCTGCTCTCTGGGAGTTTTCTCAACCTCCAACTCTTTCCTCTACTAAAAAAACAAAAAAAACAAAAACAGCAGGAGGATCACAACTTACCACCCTTTTCTCTCCTCTCTCTGAGAACTGTACCTATCCCATCTAAATGTAGTGGGCTGCAAATTGTTGCTCCAGCCAATCGTATGAAAGGGGCAGGACTTTTTCCTGGTTTGATCCATCACTCAGGGCTATCAGAGCATGGCGTGTTGCCACAGCTCCCGACAAAGCTTTGTTGTCATCCGCAAATAAACATCTTGCAAATAGCTGAGCAAAAACAACATTTTGTGCTTTAATAACACATTTATTTTAGGGGCTTTTTTTTGGTGCACAAGTGGCATGATGACATTTACAAGAAACATCAGCAACAGCCAGGCAAAATTTGAACTGCTTTCCACTTATACTCAGCAAAGTTAGTCTTGATTATTGCAGTTGGAAATGTGCTTTGTGCTCAGGGCAAGATTCAATACAGCCAAATGAAAGTGCCTAAGCAAACACGGTAATCAATTATGATTATACTCTCTAGAAAGGACAAGAGGGATGCTTTGTCAGTGGCCTAGTGCAAATTCTATCATGGTTAAACGAATAGACCATCAATTGTTGCTGCAGCACAACACTGTTAGCAATTTACATGTCCATTAGGACATCAAGAATATTGCACTGCAGTATAGTTAGCTCAAACTCTATAGCAACCTTATTTCACAGAGAAGTCGCACCCTTTTATTTTTCCGTGTGGACACATTCACTGGAATGGAAACACACAGGAATGCGTGTTTGTGTGTGCCGCTGTGGTTGTGACAGCTGACTTAGATAGTGTTGAAAGTTGCCTCAGATTGTTGGCATCTGTGCACTAGTTCTTGGCTGCATGGAAAATGCTCCCAACACAAACATGTGCTAGCTGACACGACTGGCATCCAAATAGTGAGGCTGATCACATAAAGTCTGATCAGTTTCTCAGATCCGGATTTGAGCTTAACGTCTCAAAATGAGGGCTGATGCTGATAGTTAAATGCCGTTTACCTGGGACAACCTTGTCAGCAACATCAGCTCGGAGTGTTTTGTTGAAAATGGTGTCTCTATGCAAAGCAAATGTTTGTATTATGGGGTAAAACCGCAGCGCATAAGGCATGGACTGATTTGGATTAGTAGTAAGCCAAAACCCCTGCCAGGAGTCCTTGTGTTTCAGTTTAGCCTGCAGGGTTTCGAGAAAAGTATGAAAAGAAATGTGAGAGAAAGTAAAACAACTTAGATTCTACAGTATGTTGAGGCAGATAATGACTTAAAATGTAAACCCATTAACCTTCTGGTAATTGCAGGAGAACCGATGCAAATCCAGTAGTTGGGTTATCATAACGTGCAGAGTGGAAACACGTGCAATGAAGCGTAAAAATATTTCAATTGAGTTGCGAAAGAAGATTCAGTGGAAGAAAAACAGATTACAGCCAACCATCACATCACTGTTGTCATTTGTTTACATTGTGATATTCACTTTCCAGTAAATCCAAGTTAAAAAATTAAAAAGGAAAAAAAAAAAGAAAAAGCCACATTTCAAACACAGAGACGAAAAAAGTATGCAGAATACTGTGAAGCATGTTTAATTTAGCACACTAAAACTCTGTCAAAAAGTCTAAAAAGAGACTTCAATGGGACTTTTAAAGTGACATCCACTGGAAATACATATCATGCTTTACCTTGCAGCCTGTTAGTCAGTCAACCAGACAATCCACAGCCAGGGTGACAGATGAATACAGAAATAAAGCCCAGGAAGAGATTTTTCTGAAAACACCGGCTTTCCTCAGAAGCCTCCCTTTAGCTCCTACTTTCTGTCTGGGTTCTGCTGCTTCATGTGTCTCACTGCTATCTCTGAAATTCTCCTCACACAGTCTCTTCTTCTCTAATCCTCTCTAAAGGAAGCCGAAACTGCTCCAAATGGTTCAACCAGGCGCCGACTTCTCAGGCTTTTCCCTCTTTGTATTATTTTGTTGGCTGGGATCATTAACTTAGTCCCATGAGAACATAAGGAGGTAAATAACCCCCCTCCTTCCTGTGGGAGGCTGTCAATCACATGTGATGATGAGGTGGTGAGGGGGTGCTTTTAACCACCAAGGAAGCACTCCTGATTGGTCACCAGGGAACAGAGGTGCCCTGCATGACAAATGGGAGCTATGGGATGGGTGGGATTGTACAGATGAGCAACTGAGGTTACGTTTATAATAGACTTTTGTACATCTTAATTATTTACATGTCATTTAAAAGTATATAAAGCCGTTAAAATGTGTGCACTATCAAGGAAAATGTCTATTCAATTCAAGAAAGTGTACTTCATGTTGTACATGACTAATGAGGTAAATGTTGGGGTCAACATGAATAATCACCAGATCTTTAAATGACTCTTTGGTACAGTCTGGACGCTCAGTGGGGGGACTGTGAGGGAAGCATAAAGCTTCCGTTGCCATGGCAGTGTCCAAGAGCAACGATGCATCTTGGCGCTTGAGCCAAATGCCACTCTAATCTTTTCACTGGCAAACCTTCAGCTCCCTCTTCACAGCTTGTTTGTTTCTCAGTCAAGTCTAGTGCTGTCTGTCACTGTCCAGTTCTTTCCAGCATCCCATGCCAATCTAAAGTCTGCAGCGTTTTGTAGGGGAAAGAATCGTGTAAAGACACGGCTAGAAAGACAACAATACCTGAGAGAGGTCACTCTCCTCCCTGTGACCACGGCTAAACTCTGAAAAGCAATGACAAACAATAGGCTAATTAAGCATGACTTCCAGTGTGACTCCCAGGCTTGGCTCAATCTGCACACATTACCAACACGCTAATGGATTTGTAAACAGCAGAGCACATATCCACTGTGTATGTAAAACACAGAGACAGCACATCTACATTATTCTCACATCATTCTTTAGTTGTGCACCACCTCTCCGGTAATTTACCACAGCTAGGAAATCAACAAGAAAGGGTTATTGCCCGTGCCCAAGGCCGCACAGCGCTATATATATCCACAAATTGTCTGTGAAATAATTACTTCACTACTTACTCTCTCACTGGGATTCATTTCGGTGCAATAAAGTGCCATAAAACTCAGGACATTAGAGTCGCCTCGACATTTGAGGCCAGTGCTTTTTAAAGGTGAAAATGGTTTGCCACTTCAGGGTCAATCCAAAGTCACGCCTCTCTCTGAACTGCAGTAAACATGATGTGGAAAAATGTCTGTTTCTGTTTTAATCATTCCATAAAAGAAAACTTGTCTGCCCTGTGGTTTTAGCAACTGTTCCCACCTCACCCACTGGAAACCCAACCTGATCCTTGATCCAGGCTAAAGTTTCTGTGGCTTCCAGTCCGGAAAATTGATCAAAAACATTTATTTTTGTGTATCCCGTTACTTAGTAGCTTAACTACCCACTCAAAACAAATATAATGTGCTATTAAAATCCAAATATTTGACATCAGCTATGTCATAAATCTGACAAAATAGAAACCGACTGTTCCATCAAAGCAAACTGATAAAATAGGGCTGAAGACATTGAAAAGCTAACAATAAGAATTATATTTTTTGTTGACATATTTGTATAAGAAGCAATCAAGATGCTGACATTTTTTTGTGTAATCCTAGTAAAATTACTTCCAGGAAATATGTTGCATTATACTGTACATATATTCCCTTATCAATAAATAACAGCACTGTCGAAATAATTACTCAAAACAAATGAATATTCATCCCCACTAAATAAGGCCATTTGCTGCCTGAGGCAGTTCTGTTGGCGACGGTTGGCACATCAAGCTGTATTAATTGGAAAAAGACCTGGAGAGGGCCAGAAACGCCCTCCTGAAAGCGCAGATAAGAAGTTGGAATTAAATATGCTGTGAAATCGAATGTTACATAAACCTTGATGGTTGAGAAATAAAAAAAAAAAGGTTCTCTAAGGAAACAAGCAAGCAGACATTTGTAAACTCCATCCTCATCATGTTACAAGGTTATTCTTCACCTTGATGCCACTTCCTCAAACTTGTTTAATACTGAACAAAGAGCTCCTAAAAATGCATGCAATCTAAAGTGGGCAAATATACATTGCAGAAATTAAACTATGAGGCAACACTTTTTGGAGTGAAAAGTCACATGACTAATTGATGAGCAGGAGGAACAATTGCAACCACAACTGCTCAGCAAAGCAAAGCAGAACATTGCAAGTAGACTCAGCATCCAGAAATAAGCAGTAAATCAGACTTACATGCAAAAGTCCAGAGAGGTCCTCTAAAACACAAGAGTAAAATACAACTCCCATTGACAGCTCAGCTCTCTATTTCAGTAGCACATGGATGAGAGATTAAACAAAACATACAGTAGCATGCTGGCTAGTCTCCTTCCGTCCTGCCTCCCTCATTACTAAGGCTCCCCACCCTACCCCAGCCGTATGCTCATGCGAGCGTAAAACATGCCCAGGAAGCGTCACTTCCACTGGGCCATTTCATGGATACTATCTCCATTAAAGCTCGGGCCCATCACCCCCGCCTTCTGGGGTTGAGCTCTTGCCCCTGGCTCCCCACCCCTCTCAGCAATAAGACAAAGAGGTAACAAATGGAGAGACAAAAGGGGGGCGCACAAACCTCGGGGACCCCGTTTTGATGAGTTTCTAACGACACAGTCAGGCCTTGAACAGATGGGATCAGTCTCCAGGGCTGTGCTGCATCGTTGCATTTAATACGCGGCTCTATAAATCGTCACAATAAATGTTGTGTTCTTCTGCTGGCTAAATGGCGCTCATCAGATCATAGAGCACATGCAAGTGAAAGGCGGCATAAAACTGACTATCTTTACTGTGTTATGTTTGCCATTGAACTCTCAGAAAATACAGTAATTAAAGTCTGAATGTGCATGCCTAATTGAGTTAGCATGTGCTTTGGCATCAAGATTGTCTTTTTGAGTGTAAACAGTGATCTAAGCAGCAATAATTATTTTCCTAACTAGGACAGTCCAGAACACTTCTCATTTTGCCAATAAACAATAAGATGAAAGCATAGCCTGCCCCCATTATGGCAAAGGTTCAAGATTTTAATTGCTTTCATCCCATAGGCACTCT